GTGCGTGCTGAGTCCAACTGTCTAGGCTTTGCTCCTCCCTTTTTCCTGGGAGATCTTCAGCCAGTTCCTTATCCAAAAGTATATGCCTTAATTCCCTATCTGTTAGCACTCAATGTAGCTCACAGCGTGCTCATCACTCACGCTTTATTGCAGTGTGCATTTGAAGCGGATGCGACTGGAGCTGTGTGCAGGCTTCCCTAGGAGGGCATGCCCCTTGGGACCCAGTCCCCCGGGAGAGTATCTAGGGGCTCTCCTCTTCTTCCTCCTCCTCCTGACAGCAGGGCACTGGGAGTCTCCCTAGCTGGGTCCCTGACACCCTCTAGTGGCAACGCTTCTTAACATTTATTATTTCAAGAGCTCTCAAAATTTGGGCTGTGTGCGCACCACAGCTCACCCGTCTCCGAGGCCCTATCTCAGTGCCCTCTGCAGCAGCTCATGGCTTGGGGGCTAGTAGGAAATGCCTTATTTCTTGCTGCTTTTTAAATGATGTAAGTAAAGGCTCGATGCTGTCTGCTCTGGCCAGTGTCAGGAGATGGGCTCAAGGATGGCAGTAGCCAGTAGGCTTGCTCCAGATGGGTGCTTTCCCTCTGCCTGGCTTACCACCAACAAACCAGGGGCGTGCTGACACAAGTAAGCTCTGCAGACACAGCTGGGTTGCCTGAGAGCTGCAGGGCTAGGCAAGGTGGCCACAGGGAGGGACTTGGGTTGGGGAGGAAGAGGCAAGGCTGGGTGTTGGGGGATGCGCAAGATGGGCTACCTGAATGGTACATTCAAACGGGAGGAGAACCAACCAGTAGCTGGGAGAGAAAGACCAGACCAAAGGATGTGTCTAGAAGCAGAAGTGCCAGTGAGGCTTTCTCTCAGACTGACATCCTCGTGTCAGGGATGTAGGATTTCTGGACTGAGGAGGCACTGGGGCATCCCACCGTCCTTTCCTGGGTAAGCGTGCACACTTTCTCCCGCAACGCCCAGCTTGCAAAAGCGTGAGCCCTATGGCGAGGGCCCCCAAAACCCTAGCAAGTCTGAAGAGCGCGCGGCTGTTGGACAAGTGCCACCGTTGAGATACGGCTTTGCAGCACGCTGACAGGCAGTGGAGATAGGGCACCCAGGTAAACTCTGGGGGGAAGTTGCTCAGGTCCACAAGGCCAGATATGCGAGCTGGCGTTCTTGAAACCTGGGCCTGGCAGCTGGCTTGAGAGAAATTTCTCTTTGGATATGCACCTCTCAGCATGTGATGTCATGCTCTGAAAAGTACCTTTGCAGAGTTCCCTGCTTATTTTTCGCTCCGTGACTCATAGGCCTAACCTGCTCTAGTTTTCTTTGTTAAGTCGTACCTATAGCCTTCTCACTGGTAAAGTCTCTGCACTCCAAAGCATTCGGGGAGTTCAGCTGATGCGTGAGACCGGACAGACTTCAGATTGCTCTGAGAGCGCCCCAGATATTCCAGAGCATTCAAAATGAAATGGTTATCAGGTTTCTGAAATGAGGTGTGATGTCATTCCACATGTATTTTCAGAGCAGCGTTTTCCCCTTTCTCCTCCCCCCTTCCCCTAACCCGATACACTAGATGCATCTTGCAGCGTAACTAAAAAAGTCGCTTGTGCATCGCTGGTCAAGCGTGAGAGCAGTGGTGTCAAACACAGAGCCTCCCCACTGGTCCAGGCAGCTCAAAGCACTTACCTATCCCTTGTGACATCTCATCCTGCAGAAATTGGGCTTTCATTAAGAGAGTCCTCCTGGATACGACGGTGACCCGCTGAATGTAATCCCACACCAAACTGATTCAAGACTATTGCCTCGAGCCTGCAGGCAACCTGAAAAAATCTTACTGATTCATCTGCTTGGGAGGATATGGGTGGATTTTTTACCAAAAGAACGAAGACTGCAAGACAGTGCGTCAGGCATTACCACAGTAAAATTACAGCCCTCAGCGATACACCACTGCCTTCTGCCTTTTTTTTTCTCCCCCCACCCCCACCCCCCGGACATATTTGGCAGTAGCTTGCACATGTGGTACAAACGATGCTAACCCTCCAGCCAGATTAGGATCCGGAAACAATGAAGTCATGAGTCCAGTTGGCAAAACTGTGTGTGCGTGTTGATTTGCACCCAGCCCCTGGAAGGGCTGAGCAAGGGCTGAGCAGCCTTGGCTCTCCCGTCCTCCTTCCCACTGAGGAGGTAGGATCCAAAAGCACTTTTGAATGCGGCTGCTACTGTTGGAGCTTTGCTTGGGGCTCAGTTTTTGGACTGTGTGCTGTGTTTCATGGCGGGGGCGCGTGGCTCCAACTTGCAGGCCAGCTTTATGCTCCATAATTACACATATTGTGGCTCGCTTTGCTGAGCCAGGGACACGCCGACGTTAAGAAGTGCCCTTAGTCGCAAGCAGCGAGGCTGAGGTGCACTGGTGACAGCGGGGTGCAGACACACGGGGAGGTACGCAGAGCTCCCACATTGGGGAAGGAGGATGGGCACCTCTTCTTTATAGAGCTCAGGACTGATGGAGGGAGAGGTATTGGGGACTGGGACTGCGTTCCCAGCTGGCAAGATTTCTTTCTCTGGCTGTTTTCACCCAGAGAGTTGGTGTACGGAGGCGGATGTAGGGAGCTCTGCCTTTGAAGCAGCTCAGCGGGAAAGTAACTCGAGCAAGATGAACATCAGGTTTAATTCATTTAAATAATACAAGAAAAAGTTGTAAGAGCCTGTGGCTGGAGGGCAGAGAGAATGGAGCTGCACTGCTCTGGAAATTATTCAGAGAGGTTTTAAATGAGAAATTTAAATCTCATCATGCCGGAGTCGTGAGCCAGGAGGTTTAATTGCCGGCTGTCACCACCGCTTGGGAGCCAGAGGGAAGGAGAGAAACGCAAAACGAGGCGGGCTCCTGGCGGGGGCCGTAAAGCCTGGAAAATTGGCCCGAGGTCATTAGCTGGTGGGCAGCGAGCAAGGCGGCAGGGCGAGGGGCTGAGGGGAAGGGAGGGAAGAGGAGACGCGGCTGGGCTGCCAGTACCAGGGGCAACGACTGCTGTGTGGACGGTTCTTACCAGCTACTTTCCCTGCTTGCGGCAGTAAATTCCCTGGGTAGCGAACTCTTGGTAAAAGCGAAGGTCCCCAGCCGGGCTGGACGAGGGAAGATGTACCCCTCGTTTTCCTGCATCGCGTGGCTTTTTTCTTTCCCCTCTTCTGTTTTGCCTTTTCTGCCGTAAATAATCCCAGTGGTTGTCTTGACTGCAACTCATTGCTTTTTGTAGCAGTGCCTGAATGAAACAGATGAAACTTTTGACAACTAATTTTGTCAAATCTTTCAGTGTTGTCAATGAAACTGTTCAGAGATATGTTAATTATATTCTGCCAGTACACGGTGGCACTATGGGCATTAACAGATTCAGTGATGCTGCCTTGTCTGCCTTGTGTGCAGACGCGGGGAGGAGGTTTATGTTACTCTTTTCAGCGTGATGTTCCTTGAGACGACAAAGTTTAGAAACGCTTTTTTAAGAAAGTCTATCTAATTGTGGTAGAACCTCTTGCTAAAAGTAAGGTACTGCATTCGCAAACGCGTGCTGCTGCAGTTTTTCTTTTTTTTCTCTCTCTTGATTTTAGTAGCTGTTCACTCTTTGTAAATCCAGTTATGTGATTGGTTTTTTTTTTCCACTGTCACTCCCATATGGCACAGAGGAGGCAGAGAGAAGTAAAGGAGAAGGCTCTGGCTTTTCAGAAAATATGCGTCGGGATTTTGAGAGCTCTGGCTCTCGGTCCCATCTGATTGAGCTGCAGGGGTGGAGAGTTACTGGCAGTCAGTCATCTGTCCCTTTCTCTCCTGGACATTACTGCCCACAAATCTGGACAGGCGGAATCGCAGCTGTGGCAGCACCAGCGTGGCGTGCTGGCAGCGGGGGGGGGTTAGTTCGTTAACCCTGTGCATTTCAGCATGCACCGATGTGCCCAGCTCTCAAACTGCCCTGGGGGCAACGTGGCAGAGGGGAAGGGGGAGCCTCCACCAGGCGTCCCTCCGAGGGAGTGAAAGGGCTTTCTGCCTGGTGAGGTGCTCCCGCGCTGCTCTCCTGCTGTGTCCTGCCTTCTCCCCTCCTCAGGAAGTTGGTTGTTGGCCCCTGTGGCTTCACTGCAAGAGTTCTCCCCCCACCCCGCCACCCATGTGCCCCATATACAGCTCATACTGGGTTTGTGGCATTTATTTCCTTTCCTCTGGTTAATCAACTTGAAATGCAGCCAGCAGTTTTATTACCAAATGCCTTGATGTGTCTGTGTCCCAGGAACAAGCATTGGGCGTTTTGCAGTTGCGTTGCTGCCCTCAAAGGAGCCGGCTCCCTACGAATGCAGAAACCCCATTGTTTTGCCTAAGGGGGTCATTAAAACGTGAAAGGACATAAACAAAGGAAAGAGGAATTGGATCTCCTGACTTTTTTATGAGGGAAGATTAAAGGAACTAAATATGTTTAGCTTGGCCAAACAGGGACTAAGGAGCTGAAGACCCAAGCCAGGGCTAACCAGTGTCTGAAAGGCCTTAGGAGGAAGGGGGGGGGGTGTTATTAAGCATGGTCCAGGGAGGTAGGACAGAGTGATGGCACAGAAAGAAGGGGAGGCAAACTTGAAGGGGAGGCCGCACATCATGAAATACTCGGTGGGAAGTGAATGCGCTAAGCAGCACAGTAGTAACCCTTGTAGAGCGATGAAAAGCTGTGTAGTAGTGGGGGCCACTGAGACAGAAATATAAGCAAAGCTCTAGAATATATACTGTCGGTAACAATCTTTCTCACCCAAGATCTTTGGGGATGACTCTCTTTTTATTTGGGACTAGATGTGACCTAATAGGGCTTTGCAGTTCTACGACTTATGACTGGTTACAACAGTAAAAAGAAACCTCTCCCCTAGCCCTACTTTCACATGTCCAGACTTTAGTTACTCCCTTGGCTTGTCGTTTCAGAGTCACTAACTCAAAGGTTGTGTTTCTGACCCTCTCTCCTCCTCCCGGCCCCCCTTTGCTGCAGTCATCCCTGACTCGCTGCGCGTGACTGCCGTGCCGCAGACGCTGAACAAGGTGGAGCGCGACTCCCTGGAGCTCAAGTGCGAAGTGTCCAAGAGCACAGCCCAGCACAGCCACGTCTCCATCGCCTGGTACCGGCAGCGAGGCAGTGAGCCACCCGTGGAAGTGATCTCCCTCAGCCGTGATTTTGTCCTGCGGGCCGGGAGCACCTATGCCCAGCGGCAGGCCACAGGAGACATTCGCTTGGACAAGGTGGGAGAGACCACCTCTAAGCTCACGATCTACAACCTCCACCCATCAGATCAAGGTGAATTTTACTGTGAGGCAGCTGAGTGGATCCAGGACCCGGACAAGTCTTGGTACGCCATGACCCGCAAGCGCTCTCAGGGCACCATTGTCAACGTCCAAGCCACTGGTCAGTGCCTCCTCTGTTTTTCTTGCTCATCTGGGTGATGGGAGAAGCCAAGCAATGCTGTTGTGAGACAGTGGAGAAGGGGGCTGTGTGAGATACCTGTTGTTGGGAAGCTCGGGTACTGTCTGGAGCAGTAAGTGATGCATATCACATTGCCATGCTGCTTGTGTGCGTGCTGATAGGCAGCAAAATAAATAAGGCTGTAAGACCAGTTACAGAGTGCCTATGGGTCAGGTTAGGTTCCTGCTGCATACTTCATGCAACACTGGGGAAGTTGTGCCTGGTCTGGGACTTGACAGCTTCAGACTATGGTTCTCTGCAGACTCTGGGTGTTTGTGGTCTGCTGAGATAATCCCAATGGCTCTTGGGTGCACTCTGGAAAGCAACTGCTCCTAGGAGGGTTGTTGAGGTCCCTCACTGCTGGTTACCTACAAGAGGCCAGACTAGGCTCCCTTCAGTCTGCATTTCTTATTGAAATGGCTCACTTCCCTGGCCCGTGGCTGTGTGCCTCTCACTGATGAGATAAGGATCTGCACTAGCAGCGTCCTCTATCACAGAATATCACCCTTCACCCTGGTTCTGTCCCTTCTGGTGGCAGGGCAGGACAAAGCCATGTTTTGTGGTGGGGAAGGCCCCCTTTTCTTCATGCCTAGCAGTACCGATAGGTCCTCTGAAGGGTCCTTGGAAGTGCCTGCAGCTACCCCATGCCAGGCTCCCTCATCTGCCTTGTACCCTGCTAGGCAGGCTGTTAGCAAAGGCCGGGATGCTCTGGATGAAGCTATGGAAAGGATGGACTGTGGGCTGCCTGGATGCAGGGAAGCTGCATATTGATAGCAACCAGGAGGAATTGGGGACAGCAAGGGAGCTTGGGTGGCAGCTGCTCTGCCCTTTCTCCTGGCACGGCCACTGATCGGAAGCTGGAACAGGAGATAAAGCATGCATTTTAAGCACTTGGTCCTTGCAACAAGACAACAAGGCAACGAGAATTTTGAAAAGTGAGGAGATGACACAGGCAGAAAATAAAAATAAATTTAGTAAACATTTCTATATTGCATGAGACCCTTTTGCAAGTCAAAATACTTCTCCCAGCCAACACCGCAGGTTCCTACTGAGGATCTAAAGGCTGAGTTGAGCTCTTTCTTCCTCTCTGATATCCCCCAAGTCCCTGCCTCTTGACCCCAGCTGGCCAGGTGGTCAGAGTGCAAGTAGGACAAGGCACCAGGTCACCATCCCGCAATGCCACTAGATCCTCAGCTAGAAGAGGTTAGAAAAGGGACGGGCACTGCTCTAGTGAGTGGCGGTGGCTTGGCCCTTGTGGGATGCTTGGCAGAATAAGCAGCAGCATTTCCTGTGGGGCCAGAAGCCGGGGCTGCTGAGCTCTGTTGCCAGCACTATGCTGAGCCTGTTGGTGCTCTACGCCTTGTCTCAGTGGGCTGGTGGCTGCTTCAGAGGACTGCATTACTCAGGGTCCTCATTAGAGTGCTCTTCTGCTGCAGTCACAGCAGAGCTGCTCCCAGTAATAAAGGCTGGGGAAAAATGAGCAGTTTTTCCCTTCTACTTTGGCTAGGGAGGCGTTGCAGCTTTGCCATACTGAGCAGCAAGCTGCCTCCTCTGTGGCACAGGTAGACTCGGCTCTCGCAGTGAAAGCAAGCCCCTGACCCCTCCACCTGCATATTCGTGTGTTCAAGGGATGTTGACTGCACAGGGAGGGGGGAAGAGAGACACAGCAGCAACTTGTAAATATAGCAGAGTTGCAGAAGGTGTAGTATTAGTTGCTGGCCCTCACGTGAGGGGTGCTGGCCCTCCGGGTGTGCTTTGGCCACACTGATGTGGGTTGGTCTGTCTCTCTCCAGATAAGGAGTTCAGCGTCCGACTGGAGACGGAGAAGCGGATATACACCGTGGGCGAGCCAGTGGAGTTTCGGTGCATCCTGGAGGCGCAGAATGTCCCTGACCGCTACTTCTCCATCTCCTGGGCCTTCAACAGCTCCCTCATTGCAAGCCTGGGGCCCAACGCTGTGCCGGTGCTCAACAATGAGTTTGCCCAGCGTGAGGCCCTGGGCCAGCTCAAGGTAGCCAAAGAAAGCGACAATGTTTTTGTGCTCAAGATCTACCGCCTCCGCCTCGAGGACAGTGGCAAGTACAACTGCAGGGTGACTGAGCGGGAGAAGACTGTGACGGGGGACTTCATCGACAAGGAGAGCAAGCGCCCAAAGAACATCCCCATCACTGTCCTGCCGCTCAGTAAGTAGAGACGTGCCCACTCTGTCCTGGGGCCATTGCCACGGGCCTCAGCTGTGCACGGCGACTGGCTTGTGAGGCCTTGATATGCCCTGCCCGAATGGGATTTTAGCAGGGGGAGAAGGGAGGATAAGAGTTTGCATGCTCTGGAGGCTTAAAATCCTAACCGACAAGATTTTTTTCTAGGGGAAGAGGACAGTGGAAAAAGAGGGATATGTGCTGCTTAGGCTTGTAGGTGGGAAGCATGCCCACACCTTGATAGTTGCTGCAAGCTGAGAGTTTTGCCTTGAGTAGAAAGTGCGTGTGACAGCCTCTGGTTGTCTTATCACACCTCTCGCCTCACCGTGCTCTGTAGGTTGCTGGGAGCAACAAAATATTCAGCAGTCTTATTGGGGAGTCCTGCTTGTCCTTTAAGCCTATCTTAAGAGTTAATAGGTTGCTGGAGAGGTCTTGGTGGCTGTTGTTCAGGCGTCTTGCAAGACTGTTCCTCCATAGCTGCTGGGGTTGTGCCGTGTGCTGGGAGAAACCAGGAGTCACGTGCTCCTCAAGCCCAGGTTTGCTCTTCAGCAGAGAGGTCTCTTGTCACTGTGTGTCTGCCAACCCTGGTGAAAACAACCCAGTCAAAGGCTCATCTGAATGCCTTTTACGTTAGTCAGATGAACGTTGTAAATACAGAAATAAGAGCGTGGGAGGAAAGGGTCCACTGACGCGTTCCTCCTTTGTCTCACTCTCTCCAACTCGAGTAGCCTTGGAAGTGTCGTCCAGCTTACCCTAGCAGTGGGTTTTGACCGAACAAAGGAGTAGCTGTGAGAGGCTTTTGTGTAATATTTGCATCCTATCTCTTGGTTTTGTGGGGAAATGCAGCCCTCTCCTCAAGCTTTTTTTCCTCCTCGTTTCTCCAAAAGAAATTCGAATTCTTTTCTCTCTTACCAGTATTGGGTCTCATTTGTTTGGCATTGAAAATTACTCTAGTTAGTTTCACTGGACGGTTGTCTGAAATGCAGTATGTCTAGACAAAGCCACCATGACAGATTTCATTCCTGAAATTGCATAAATCACCAGCTCTAGGAACAAATGCGATGATTTTTCAAGGGTGCTAAGTGTCCATAACTCCGACGGAAGACAACAGGAGTAACCAGCACTCAGTATCTCTGAAAAACCAGCTATAAAGTTCGACATCTCTGGGAAGCTCAGGATACCTGCTTTTTTGATGATACCAAACACTGATAGCTACCTCTAGTGTTAATAGTGATGGGAGTTTGTGAGAGCTTCTCACAAAAGGTGTTGCAGGAAGTGGAAGTGGCAAGATGGAAATCAGAATGACATGAATGGGAAAGCCCAGGGAGTTGGAAGCTTTTTTGGCAGAGCCAGTTGCGTGCGGTGCATGTGGCAACACAAATTCCCTCAAGTTTTTTGAGATCCTGTCCTGGACCCGCAACCAGAAGATGCGTCAGTGTTTCATGAGCCATAGGGAGAGAGAGCTTTGGCCGACACCTGGTTTGATTGTGCAAGTCACCAGGAGCAGCTCGCTGCCCACAAGCTGTTTTTGGATGTGGTCACGCATAGAGTTGAGATGTGCCTGGACCCAAATGCGTGGGCAGTTTCCTGCACCTGGTAAAAAGTCTCTAGAGACGTCAGTGTCCTCCTTGCAGACCGAGGAGTGGCGAGTGTGTATCATCTCCCCTGTGTATATGCGTTTTTCTCCTTAGAGACAAGCATCTTGTTGGAGATAACCAACAATGCCAGCAATGTCTTGGAGGGCGAGAGCCTACGCTTCGGCTGCAATGTGCGCTCAGGCTTTGGGCCCCAAAGCCGCCTCTCAGTCACCTGGCAGCTGGTGGACAAGCAGAACCGGCGCAGCGAAATTGTACGGCTGGATCGAGATGGCACCCTGCAACCGGGCCCTTTGTATGCTGAGCGCAGCAGCTACGGGGGCATCCAGATGGAGCAGGTGCGGCCTGGTGCCTTCACCCTGGAGATCTTCAACAGTGTCAAGGCAGATGAGGGCCACTACGAATGCCGGGTGGCCGAGTGGACGCGGACGCTGGATGGGGAGTGGCAGATGGTTGGGGAGCGGCATGCTGGCACACCAGTGTCCGTCACTGCTCTGGGTGAGTACTCGAGGCGCGGGGACCACGGGACTGTGCTCCCCATGTCTCCCAGCCCCCCTGGGTGTCACCTGCAAATGCCTGGGGCAAGGGCGAGGCGTAGGACCTGCCGGTTGCTCTTGGCTCTCCTGCGTTTGCTGGTGAAAAGCAGGCACTCGGCAGCCAGCCCCCAGTCTGCAGCTTCTGGGTAGGTCGGTGCAAAACGGCCGCGTGTGTTGTTGTGTTTGAAGGCCGAATCTGAGGGCTGGCCTTAACACAGGTGAGATGGGTGATAGCTAAGGAGAGGAGCGATGCTTCTGGCATCCTTCCAAAGAGAGAAACCAGCAGGCGGGCAGGCAGCGTAATGCTTTCTGGCCCACTGAAAGAGGGCACCGCGTCACCTGTGGTGCTGGAGATGGACTGTGGGAAGTAGGGTTGTAATGCTCCATCGGCAATCTTTGGGCAGTGAAGTCTCCTTGCGGACCCTAGGTAAACCTTACCTCCGCTCGCTAGACCAGGAGAGTGAAACCTCCACTCGTGAGAGACATGGGGACCACCAGAAATTGTGAGCAGCTCCTACAGCATCAGAAGCCCGCAGGAACCGCGGGTCGGGGACGGTCCTCAAGAGCCTCCACGCGGGAGGCCTTGAGCAGCTGGCCCAAGACTGCGACTTAGTCCATTGACCGAGCTGAACTAGAAGCCAGGATCGTTGCTGCCAGTACTCTGCTCTGACAGAGAGCACCTCTATTTCAAATACACTAAAACCACATTGATTTAGGAGAGGGCAGGTAGAGCATTAGGGGATTTGCATAGCCTGGGAATTGCTTGGGTCCTGTTCAGGCCTTGCTATATTAAGTCCTGGACCAGTTCCCAAAGTACTCTGCAGGAGACTGAAGAACTGATGACTGTTCCTATGAGGCCACTAATTTGCAAAATGCCAGAGCCATAAACAATTGGTGCACGCTGTTGAAAAGCTGAGATAGATTTTTTTGGTTCTCCGCAGTATTAATCTTAAGCTTTGGCAACATATCTGAGAGATGAGACGTTAAAGTCTTATCATATTCTGATTAGAATCTTACTTTTTCCTCCTTTCTTTCCCTTCACTTTTGACCTTCTTTCAGAGGCTGCTCTGTCTGGAGCTAGAAATCATTGCAATATAGCTTCTGAAAGCAAGTAGAACTTCAGTTGGTAAAGAATTAAAGGCAGGTTCTCAGCTAGTTTGAGCAGCATCTTCCTCTTGAGGTCCTTGGCATTTAGCCTACTATAAGTCTCTGTATCTATTCTCTTTACTCGGCAACTGCTGGAGGTTTGTGGGAGTAGAGCAGGGAGTACAATCGTAAATTAAGTGATCAAATTTAAAAATGTATTGCTTTCACTCTTGCTGAAAGTTAAGATGCTCAGAACTTCCCAGCAGTTCCAGAAAAGGTGATTAAAAGGTAGTTTTCCCTCTCCCTCCATCCTTGTCCCTGGTTGTTGAACACATTCTGTCAAGTGCTAAGAAGCTTTCTAGATCCTGTTCCTGTAACAATCAAAGACTGAAGTAGCTCCTTGAAATTTAATGGATAAAACGGGATTTTTTTTGTTGTTGCTGCTGAATCTGTTTTTTTTGTTCTGCCTACTCCTTGAAATTTAATGGATAAAACGGGGTTTTTTTGTTGTTGCTGCTGAATCTGGTTTTTTTGTTCTGCCTGATGTTTGTAAAGTGTTTTGAGAAACTCAAACAGAATATGCCAAGAAAGGGTAAGGAAGGTTTATTGCTACAGCAAGTGCTAGTAGAAAATGCAGTAAATTTAAGTGACACTCGCGTTTCAAGTTAAGGTCTAATCGTTTGCCAGTCTGCCAGGGTAAGAAACTCTTTGGCTGAACCGGCACAGATTATTTCAGAACCCGTAAATCTCCCTACAGAGTGGTTCTGAAGCAATAGCCAGAGGAGAGATCAGTTGTCGGATGAAACCAGATGTCCCTGAACTTCTGAGGCTCTCCAGTGCGGAGCAGGGGCTTCAGTCCCTGGATGGCTGGGGAGGAAGGGGGGCAGACACGGCAGTTGGTAGAGGTGAGGCTGGCTGGGTGAGGGGATTCTGACACGTTGTAGGCAGGTCTTGCACAAAAAATCTGCCTGCTTTCATGCATGGCTTCCCTCCTTTTGTACCAAGCCCCTCAGGAAGAAGGGATTTCATGTGTTAACCTAAGTGCTGTGAGCATGTTTGTTTGAGTTGAGGACCCAAGGAATAGATCTGCTTTTTGCATGGCAGTCAAGAGAAGTACTTTTCATTGAGCCCAGGCTAACTGGAGATAAAACTCTACAAGCCCAGCTGGTTTTGAAATAAAACAGCCTTCTAGGGCCAGAAATCTCTGCTGTGCACTGAACTGGGCCTGACAACACACTTGCGTGGGCAGGAGAGCTGCTGCAGAGTCAGTATGTGACAACTTAAGTGAGGATAAGATGGAGCGGTCTTGCCGAGGATGGCCTCCTGAGCCTCGTATTCCTTTCCTGGATAATCACTGAACGTGTTCCAAGAGGCTTTAATCCCAAAGACTGACCTGTTGTCTCAGTAATTACACGTTCCAGAGCTCTGCCACAGTGACGCCTTTGGGTGATGAGGGCAGCGGAGGCCCTTGCTGGGAACGTGCCAACATTGTGGTGTCTGCGCTGCGGCCGTTTGGGCCAGCGGCAGTGACCCTGCAGGCTGCAGCTGAACTCCGGTCTAATCTCCTGGGACTGGAGAATCCTCCCAGGCTGTAATTTTGAGCCTGTGGTGGATCCGTGCTCATCTAGAAAATGTTTCTGTTTCTGCTGGGTACTGGCTGGGGACTCCACCCTCAGAGCTACAGTGAAGGCTTTACCAGATGCCTGAATTGTCAGCACTGGAGAGGGAGGAGAGCTCTTAACCCACTTTAGTTCCTAGAAGTCTCCACTGGGTATCTCAACGCTTCTTGTAGATGTTACCGGTGGAAAAATAGATCCCTGCTAAATTAACAGGCTGCATTTAAGTAATCGGAACAGGGGAAAAAATTGTTTTTCTGCAACTTGAAGAAATGAATGATGGAAATTCCCTTACTCAGAATGAAAATTCCCTGACCCAAAATCTAAGATAGTCAACTGGGAATATGTTGCCCTCAAATTATTAATAGACTACTGGTTTTAAATTCCTCTAACCAACAAACTCTGGTGATAGTTGAGGACAAATGTATTGACTAGCTTGTGGAGTTGTGCATATGTGAGGATAACTGTATAAAACTATCCTATAGCTGTAATTTGAAAGAGAAAAAGGAAGTTGTGTTGTATGAAGAGCAGAATCCAGTAACCAGCTTCTCTCTTTCTTACATTGCCTCCATCCTGGGATTTTATAACCACTGTCACCTCTCCAAAGTTTGAAAGCAAGCTGTTTCTTTTTACTTTACGAACCTTTTGCCGGTGTCCAGCTGCAGACACGGAGTGGGCAATGAGGAGGGATTGTTCCCCATACAGAGTCACGTCTCTCTCTGGGCAGGTTTTGTACCCATTGCTGCTCTGTTGCAGACTTCCCTAACAGGCTGTCGAGTCCAACTTCTGTGGTGCTTTAACAGCATGCAGAAGTACTGAGGTTGGCTACTCTCCCTCCGGGTTACTGGAGATCTCTCTCCTCCTTGTAGAGCATGTCCCTGTTGCCACTGCAACAAGTGCTTACTCAGACAGCCACTACTATGCAGGCAGTTAAGTGTGATTTTTCTAGTGCTGTTCATTCCACTTGGCGATTGCAAAGGAGAGAAGCCAACGCAACATGAGCAGCTGATTATTCCAGGCCCACAGCTGGATAGCCATGCTCTACCTTTTGCAGGAGAGCAACAGCGGAGAGCAGGGCCTTGTTAGGCAGGTGTCTCTCAAAGCCCTTTTGTCTCTTTCTGCAGAGGCTGGCTTTGCTGTCACAGCTATTTCCCGCACCCCTGGCGTTACCTACAACGAGTCGTTTGACCTCCAGTGCATCATCAAGCCACACTACCCATCGTGGGTGCCAGTGTCGGTGACGTGGCGTTTCCAGCCGGCGGGCAGCACCGAGTTCCACGACCTGGTCACCTTCACGCGCGACGGTGGGGTCCAGTGGGGCGACAGGTATGCTGGCTTCCGGACACGCACTGCCATTGAAAAGGCCGAGTCCAGCAACAATGTGCGTCTGAGCATCAGTAGGGCAAGCGACACGGAGGCTGGCAAGTACCAGTGTGTGGCTGAACTCTGGCGGAAGAACTACAACAGCAGCTGGACGCGGCTGGCGGACAGGACCTCCAACCTGCTGGAAATCAGGGTCCTGCGACCAGGTAGGTGCCAAAGAAGGCCTGGGAATTGCTTTGTGGTGATGGGCTGCTTATCAGTGCTGTGGTGGCCTCTCAGAGAGAGTACTGGTCTTGGTGGTGCTGCTGCTGCTGGGATTTCACACTTGTGAAAGACTCGGGTGGCACTGCTCAGCTCTTCAACTGCAGATATGCTAAGCCCATTCTCCACCTCTGGAGAAGTGGATTTCCTCCTGTTCCTCCTGTGCTGTTTGTGGGTTTTTATCTGGGAGGTGAGGTGACTGGTAGCTCTGTCCAGTCTCTGAGCTGTTCTTGTGAGATGGAGATGGTTTTCAGGACGCCGCTTCCCTTCACCAGATTAGAGTGACTCGGGGAGGAGAGGGGAGGGGCAGTGAAAACAGTATCAACAGAGAGTGATGCTCCCACAAAAGCCTGTGTGTTCTTCCCTGCCATAGATCATGTGCTGCATCTTATCTAGTAACTGTCTGTCCCTCTTGCTGTGCTGGAGGGGTCCTCAAAAGCAGCCGGTGGTAAGAGAGCCTGATGTTCATCCTCCCCAGAAGTTGAGTCCTTTCCAGTTAGAATGCACCAAGGCCACGGGTGCCTGCACAAGTGTGCAACATGTAGGCAACAGATCCCTGGCTTGGAAGGGAGAGTCAGAAAATCTGCAACATGCTTATGCTGCCTGTATAGTCAGTGGAAAGAGTTAGGCGTCTTTTGTAGGCCTTCTAGCTGCTGTTTTGGTTGTAGCGACTTTTCTCCAAGAAAGATGCAAAGGCCTGTGGTCAGGGCAGCTCTGGGCCACAGCTGAGCTGAATGGTTTATGGCTGTCTCAGATTTCAGGCTGGAATAGGTCTTCTGGGTGAGGCTCTTGGCACCTTTGAGACCCTTGGCTCAGTTCCTTGCAGTGCTGTCAGTTCTCTCCTCGTGTATTCCTGTGTGCTGAGACTCCTTCCTAGCGTCTGTCTTTGTGTTTTGTTTTATTTTTCTTTTTTTTTTTCTGAATAGCCCCTTTCGTACCCTCCTCCGCCTTCCCCCACCCCTTACCATGTCTTTGGAAGAATCAGGAGATGCTGTGAGCTCCATGCCCCTCATGATCTTGCCACCCTCTTTCTTCCCTCTCTCCCTTCTTGCACTCATCTCCAGGTTAATCTTTTCCATTTGTCTTGATTATCCTGACTTGTAATACATAGCTTACTGCTCACAAAGTCAGGTTGGTGATGTTCATCATTTTAGCTTATTTCCCTAGGAAACAGCGTTGATTGGAGAAGGTCCCTAGAGTAATAAGCTTCTTCATGATGCATTTCTGTGCATGTGTGTGTGTATGTGTGAGAGAGAGAGAAATCCTTGGTAATACCTTCCAGAGGAGAGCCTCTGTGTCTCAGCTCAGGGTGGCCAGGAGGATGTTTAAAGGTCAGCGGAAGGTGTAACATGCTCTGGCAACCAGTTCTTCTTTCCTGCAGCTGTAACAGAAGTAGTGATCTAGGTCTCTGCATTTTTTACCTCTCCCTGCCTCCCTACTGCTTAACAAACTACTGCTATGCAAATCTTAGCCATCAGTCTGATGAGCCTCGCATAGCATTTGTGATTTTATGGCCCACAGGGGCGTGGAGGAGAAGAAGGGAGCTTCTTTCTCTCTCTCCTCCTCAGAATGTCTCCCAGCACCTCTGTTGTGCTCTCTCTGTGTGTCATTTCCATGCCCCCACAGCTTCTAAGACAGGGTGCTTGGAAGTTCTCCATAAATACTGCTGGCAGCCATGCAAGTGTCTGCTGTGATTCTCTCTCCTTTTGCAAGCTACAGAGGGTTATGCTTTTGTTGGATCTTTGTCCGGATAACCTCCAGAGAGAATCCAGGATGATATGGGAGGCACCTTTGTCCGTCACCTCTGAATGAATGTCCTAGTGCCCTAGCAGTCAGACCTTGCTGGCGAAGCAGATGCTAGCTTTCAGATTAATATGCAGGGCTGTTTTTAAAGGGGGTCATTCAGGACCCCTGAACAACTGAATACATGAGAGAGCCATCAGTTTAAGTCTGTGGCTCCCCATAGCCACATTATTTTTACATAACTTCAGCCTGCCACAGGATGACTTAGTCCTGTCTTTCTCCTTTTTCTTTGGGTTTGCCCCAGTGGGTTTGGGGAGAACTATCTCCACTACCGCTCTTTGAGGGATAGCATAAAGAAATAAAGAAAGCTTTTCTGAAGGTCTTTTGGCAAATTGAGGTAGCGTGTTTCCAGATTGTAAGTTAATGTTGGGATTCTAGTTTTTTCTTAAAACCCCTGTTCCCTATTTGTCAGAGTGACCTTTCTGTTTGACAGATTCCAGGTGCAGATGTGGCAATCGATATATGTCAGCCTTTAAAGTATATTAAGGTGAGAAGCCTTATAGAAAGGCAAAATTGTGGCTAGCTGATTGCTTCGTTAATCTCTTTACTTTGTGAAATTCCACATCTCAAGAGACTAGATGCTGGATCTTCTCTTGGTGTGTCAGTTTGCTGTTGCAATATTTAAACTGTCTCTTCTTGGCCTTCCAGCAGTGGGTTATAGGAATATTTGTAGTTGTCATGCATGCTGTGTGATAGCTGCAGAAGTGGCAGCACTGGCATTGAATTGCATCTGTTAATGTAGCTGCAGTTTTCACCTATTGCTGTCTCAAGTGGCCAACAGGTAATGCTGAGGAGACTCTAGCAGCTTGAAACACTTGACTCCTTTCTTACTCGCATGAGGAAACCAGCAGTACCTGAGAAACAAAACATGGAGCTCCTGAAGGAGAAAGTGGAAAAGGCGGGTAGCTGGCAGCATTAACATAGCTCTGAAGTGAAAATCTGTAGGTGGGAAGACAGAAGTGTCCCTCATTACACCTGGAGCTAGCTTTGACCTTTGGATGTGACTGTTCCTTATTCCCTTGGGTGCTAGGCCATTGTAAGGACTGACAGTTTGAGAAAAACCTATAAAGGACACTGGCTTTATATGTGAGAGCTTATAGAGAATTTAGGTATCGCAAGGTTGTGGCGTGCATCACTTGATACTATGTGAAAACTCACCAGCAGCAACAGTAGTATCTGAAGCTCCGGTATTTCTCCCTTTTGTTGTCTGCTCCTCAGTGTCACGCAACCCAGCGTTTTTTGGTTGCAGAGTAGAGGGAAGGGTATGCACAGGTACAGGCACGTTCTCCCACTTGCTCATGTGCACTTTGGAGAGAGGGAGTTTGCACTGCTGTAGGGTGAGCGGTTTTTAACTTCTGCAGGCTGGAGTTGAAATCCAGGCTGGTTCGAGGGGTCTTTGAGGCAGGATTAGGGACCAGACTGGCTACTGGAAAGATTTGTCTGCGGCTGTTCTGTGTCCTGACAGCATTACGCTCTGTTTCTACTTCCAGCTCTTTGAGCTGCCTGTTGTGTCTTTCTCGGTGAGCTCATGTTGCAGCAGAGGGGGAAGAACAATAAAAGTGAGGCGCAGTTCATGCCAGCTGCTTCCCCGAAGCCCAAGCTGGCAGGAGCATTGTGCACGGAGGCGTGGGCTGAGCTTGGAACAAGCCCCAAATGCACATGTAAAGATTTTTTTTTTTCCACCTCCATACTTTTGTTTGGGCTTCCCTTTTGTTACAGGATCTGGCCTGCCTCTGGAACCCCACTTCTGCCCCAAAAGCTGAGGGGTCCCGTGATGATTCACCATCCCTTTCCCTTCCAGAGCTGTTACCTCACACTTGTTGCTGTGGCCTTTGCCCTTCCTGGCTGGAGAAGAGGATTCTCCATACAAACATTACTGAGCTGATCCTCAAGTCAGCAGTCGGGGCAGATGTGTCCTCAGAGGGGACAGACTTGACAACTCCCTGATGCATACCAATCTCTTTGGTTTTAGAGGAAGAAGACACTGTTCAGGAGGTTCCTTTTGAACCCAGGTGATCCTGAAAGCATTAGGATTTAGTAGTTCAGGCTGAGCTGTTGGTTTGATCATGCCAGCTAAGCCTGTCTGCACATACAGGGTGGTAGCCTTTTCCTGCTCTCTCCCCTGTTCCCTGTGTACCCCTGCGGGGGGAATGTGCCATGGCTCGGTGTCCTGCCCAGGAGATTTGTACGGGACAAGGTTAGACCCAAGGGTTGACAGCCTGGCTTTGCTCACGGCTCCTCCTTCAGTCGTGATTTCTCTGCCAAGTTTTCAGGGAAGGAGCTGTTGAGACAGGGCATGCTGTTTGTGAGCAGTGTGTGTCTGTGCGAAGTCTGTGGGACTCAGACAAGGGCAGCAGACAGTCTCTGGCGGCACAGTACATGATTGGGGCTATGCTGCAATCTGGGCAGGCGGAGACATTTGAATACGACTCTTTTGGCAAGAAGGCCTGAGCAGATTTGTGCTGGTGTATTAAATTGCCATTGTCCTCGTGTGCATTACTGCACTTATCTTCCCCCTGCAGTGTGAGCGTGAGGTGATTCGGCAGAGCTGTGAGAGATCTGAGCGCTGGGAACTCTTTCTGGCAACAGCTGAATAGAAAATAAGGGCTTTTTCATAAGCAGGAGGTTGTGACAAGCCCCACCAAGCCCACCTCTCCCCCCTTTTCGTACTATGGCACCGACTTGCACATCCCAGTGCCGTTTAGCAGCCTCTGCTCTATTTAGTGGAAAGCAACCTGGTGAGCTGATGTCTGAATGGGGCTTGTTCACCCAGAGCCCGGAGGGCTGTTGGGAACGCTTGTCCGGCTCTGGGGCGCGGGAGCATGTTTGTGGGGAAACCCAGGCTGGCAGCATGGAAGTCTGCAAGACTCATGATGCCAGGATCATGCGCTTCATCAGGAGGGGATTTGGCCAGCGCCTTGCCTGCGTGGCCCCTCTGACCTGCGTAACACAGACCTCCCCAGTACCTCTGCGCTTGACCTTGGGGGATCTTGTGCTCCCCAGCGCCCAGAAGCCTTGGCGCTGGCTGCTCTTGTTTCCCTCGGTGTGGGACCTGGAGCACGGCACAGAGAGAGCTTGGCCACTCGTGTGCCTGTAGTTGGCCGGCTGGCCTTGTCCCCACTGACAGCCAGGCACGGCCCTC